TTTCTTCGTAACGTGGACTCTGGGGGTTTCTTTCTTATCAGCTCTTTGTGTGAAACTACTGTATCTTTTTGTCTCTTTGGTCACTTGGTTGGTTGTTTTTAGCTCCTGTCTATATAAAACACTATGCTTTTCCTAAGGAGAATTTACCTCAGTAGGTTTTTGTAAAATAGCAAATGACTGAACTCAGATGTGACAGCACACCTTGGATGTTTATTGCAAATTTTCATAAATGAAACACTGCAGTATTATAGTCATGATGATCACTGTTATTACATTTATTTTTAAAGCAACTCTGAGAATACAAACTAGAATACAATTTTTTGGACGGCAAACAACCCTACTGGGACTTGCACTGAGTGGCAGAAATACCTACATTACCATCTAATGGATGACTTACTTAGTTTGCAGCTGAAGACAAAACCTAGCATTTCATTGTACATTTTTATCAGTTTATGAGGTTGCATATTAATAGTAATAGTATTTGAGTGGGTTTGTGTTTTTCCCTCTGAAAATGCTGGGCCCACAGAGATACTTACAGCAAGCTGCCCACAGAACACTAAAGTGAATCATTGCCCAGATGACATCTCTGTGGGAATGCATTCCGAGGCATATGATTTGTTTCAGCATTGCAAACTTTTATGTCAGTTCCATTTGTTTGTTTTTTATAACATTGATGACCTTTTAGCTATTTGGGCATGTTCATTTAAAATCCTCAAAATGAATCTTAATTAAAAAGAGTTGAGCTAAAAAAATACTCCCTCACTCAGGGTAGAATTTCTGTCATATCAATCCACAGACAAAAACAAATGATATTTAGGAGTAATGGCATTTTCAGTTTGAGTTACTAGCATGAGCTTGTGTGATCTTGCTGAACACTGCCATTTGCAAAAGAGCAATTAAAACAGATGACAATCTGCTAATCACACACAGTTCTATTTAGAAATTTAGCAGTATTTTTCCCAGTTTGTGTTTTTGCTTGACTTCCTAAGAGTAAAAGTAAGTTTTATGTACTTACATTGTATATAACAGTATGTAAATTTGGGAAACTTCACCACCGATCAACAGTTTTCAGTAGGCTAAAAATATACCCCAGCATTGTAAACATCCTTAGTGAAAGCTCTGTGTGTGTGTTTGTGTAGTATGTGTTTGTATGCATATGTTTGTGTGGCTAAAATATTCCATATTTGTTTTACATAAAATTGTTTTTATGCTGATAGACAAACTCTGCATTTGTTAACAGAAGAAAGTAATGCAATAGGCCTGCGTAGCTGATAAATTAAAGCTGATTGGGAGGCAGAAGGCACAGGCATGCTTGGGATTTAGGATTTAAAAGTAGTGGCATTTTCACATTGGCTTACAAAGGATGAGCTGGCTCGATTTGCTGATCACTTTCATGATTTGTAGGTTTTGTCTGTGATTTTAACCTTGAAATCATTAAAGGCCTATCAGTGGTAATACTCCACTTGTATTCAGATAGGAGCTCTGGCTACACCTAGAGGCGAAGTGATTCTGGTGGCTTTGACAACAACACTGAGAAGTTCATATCATTTGGAAAGAATCTCAGAACATTAAGAATAGGGAGAGAAATGGCTAGGAACAAGGTAGTAGGAGTCACCAGTGAAAGAGACAGCAGTCAAATATAGGAATTGTATCTGATCACCTCTTTGTGATGCAAGGTTATCGTTCCTCTGCAGAGCTGTGAGTTTTTCTTAGCACAGTTTGAGGCCTTTGAGTTTCTGAAGTGCACTGCTATTCACCTGTTGCTCGTTCTTCGTGAGCTACATGAACTTCTCAGCCACAGTTCTGTGACCACTCCCCTGGGGAGCCTGTTACATTCCCATTCCCCCTCTGGGTGAAGAACCTTTTTCTGATATCTAACCTAAGCCTCCCCTGACTTGGCTTTATGCTGTTTGCTCAAGTCACTGGTGATGAGAGTGAAGAGATCAGCCTCTGCCCTTCCACTTTCCCGTGTGAGGAAACTGAAGATTGCAGTGAGGTCTCCCCTCAGTCTCCTCCAGGCTGAAAAGACCCAATGACCTCAGCTGGTCCTCATACAGCTTCAGCACTCACAACCCTTCACCATCTTCATTTTCCTCCTTTTGATGCTGATAGTTTAATGTCTTCCTATATTGTGGTGCCCAAAACTTCCCCCAGTACTCGAGGTGAGGCTGCCCCAGTGCAGAGCAGAGTGGGACAATCTCCTCCCTTGCCTGGCTGGTGATGCTGTGCCTGATGCACCCCCACGACACACTTGGCCCTCCTGGCTGCCAGGGCACTGCTGGCTCATGTTGAGCTTGCCAGTGACCAGGACCCCCAGGTCCCTTTCCATGGCACTGCTCTCCAGCCTGTTGTTCTCTAGTCTATGCACACGACCAGGATTTCTCCACCCCAGGTGCTGAATCCAGCACTTGCCCTTATTAAACTTCCTATGGTCTGTCTGCTCACCTCTCAGTTGTTGAGGTCTCTGCAAGGCCTCTCTGCCCTCGAGGGAGTCAACGACTCCTCCTAATTTAGTGTCTTTGGCAAACGTAGTATTCTTTCGAGTACTGTGGCCAAACTGTTAATGAAGATGTTGGAGAGAACTTACACATATAAACAAGTATCCTCTTAGTTTGTAAGGAAAGTGCTTTGTAGAGCTGCCTGTTTCTATTCTTATTCATTGTCTGTGGATACAGAATGCAGGATCTGATAGTGTCTTCTTTTAAAAGTGAAAAACCTCCTATTGATTTCACTGCCAGGTTGGATCCTTAAGCAGGGTAAAATAGAGCTGACTTTTGAAAATGTACTGCTGTTTATCTTTTGTTGGCTGCTACAAGGATTCTGCTTCCTGCAGCTGTATTTTAAATTGAGAATTAGTTTTAATACATATTTTATTTTAAAAGGTAAATGGAGACCTACTATAATAAAATTAGTTGCCAACTGCAGGTTATCAGAATGTTAGGACATGGGAATTATACATAGCACTCATTAGCAAGTGTGAATTCAGGATAGTCGAAGTGCTGGTATATATGCAGAGTAATACTCCTGCAGAGGTATCTAGACAGCTTTAGTGCTGTAAATGTTTATTGTGTTTATTCAATATGTTTGGGAGAACTGCATGGAAATGTAGCCAGCTAGCTATCCTGTACTTAATGCAGATTTTCTTTGGAGATGGTGGTCCAGGCCTTCAGTTTTACTGAGTTCTATTTCAGAGGCCCCTTCTTTCTCCCCTGAATTCCCATAAGCATTTTGGTTGGTTTTCATGCATCAAATAATAATAAAAAAGTCTTTAAGTTGAGGCCTTACTCAATTCCTTTTTATTTCTCCTCAGTGCCAAAAAAGACTGTAAAGAGCGAAAAGAGAATAGAAATGGTTCTGAGAGGAAGCACTTTTATGTAGTGGGAAAGTTATCATGTACTCTGCCAAAAAAAAAAAATAAAAGAAATAAAGGAAATGGAAAGGTGGGGAGAAAGTAGCAAAAGGGCATATACTGATGAAGTTCACAAAAGAAAACTAGTGGTGGAAAACAAAAAACAAAGGGACATTATATAAGAATCATTTCCACACAGTGATTCTACAGCTTCCCATTTTCCCCAGCCATTCTGAAAGAACTGGAAAGGAGTGTGCAGAAGGTTTTACAGCTGTGTGGTGTGTATGGTGTGTACTTTTGTCTGCTTTCAGCTTAACTTTTCTTTCTTTCAACAATTACAGTAAGTTCATGGAGTGATGCCATATCTTTCAATGATAACTCAGCATTTAAAAAATTTGAACAAATTTGTGCAGGTTTATCTCACACAGGTTATTTGCTTCACTGTATATCTAATTTTTATTGTATATCTAATAAAAAAATTCTATAAATAGATTTGGAATAAAAATGTTAGACTAAGAAAACCAAAACAGGAACTTCTGAAATCTTAGAAATATTCATTGAATTTACTCAGATTTAAATAAGAAGTTCATGCAAACTTTAAGAGCTGAGATACAGCTTGTAGTTGCAAATGCTTATATTCTAAAATATAGTGTTTAGTAATTATGCACTGGGGAGGAATAATTTCTTCATAAAGTGCTTTATTCACATGGGGACAACACTTTCTACCCTACAGGTCAGAAAGCTGAGAAACTTCTCTGTCTGTTTTCTGTATTTTAAAAAAACAATCTTTAAATTCTATCAAAATAGGTGTATATAAGATGTTCATGGCCCAAGTGAAGAAAAAATTGCTTTGTACTTAAAAATTAGGTGAAAATATGTTGTGGCAGTATGTTATCTTCAAATTTTTCTAGATCAACACTTACTGGTTAGGTGGGCTTAGTGTTTCTCATGTTCCCTCACATATCTCACTTAAATATATGCTCCTCACTTGGGTGGAAAAAATGTTGTGAGAAACGTGCTTACATCTTTAACATAGTAATTGTTCAGTTAATCTCATTTATGGGGGGAAGGATGCTATACTTCACTGATGCCGTTTAAATATCCTATACCGGGTTCTATATAAATAGCTACAAATGTGCACAATGGTTACATTACATGGTATATTTAACAACACAGCTAAATCAGAAAGTATGAGCTATGCCTTTAGTGATGGGAGTACTAATGATTGCATGCAAGAAGATTTTTTTGCTCTGCAACCATGAAGGAAATAATTGCTGTTCAGCACTATTCAGTTACGTTTGCATATCAGTAAAAACACATGCACAGAGGCTCCACCTACATTCCTAGTGCCCTAGCAGTGATATGAGTCCAGCATACATTAAAGCTTCAGAAGTTGTTTCAGTTTTCACAACTTGCAAAATGCGTGTAATTTTCAACAGAGTTAATTTGACCACTGACAGATGAAATTGCCAAGGTGACATTCAGGTTTTATGATTTTCTTTTATTTTAGACAAAAACACCAGAGGGGACATTTTACAGATTTGTTGCATGACTACTTCCGCTGAGGTTTTAAATCTTGTGGGGTTTTTCCTCTTTTTGATTCATTGAAGATATAAATATATAAAGCAAATGTTTCTCTTTCATATTTTAGATGGAAGACTTTATTTGAAAACTACTGTCATGTATTGAATTTTTCCTGCTGAAAATACGTGTGCTACGGTAAAGAACGTTGCAGTAAGACACTGGCTCATAAGGAGTTCTGTGGAAACAAAATGTTTTCAAACCAACTTCCTCAACTTCATTTATCAATGTTCTTCAAAAATGTAAAGAATTCTGCAAGAGTGTCCTCCTTTGGTTATCTCCTGTGGCTCAACCTGGAGATCTAGAGAATGTTTGTAAATGTACAGTAGCACTGTTCTCACAGCGAAAATCTGCATCTCTGCGCTGGACTATTGTATCCAAAATTGCAGGCGGTCAGAACAAGGCTGAGTATTCCCTTTTTCAAGGAATGCAGACTCTCCTCTGATGATTCTATATTTGAGCACATCCAATGATCCTTCCAGCGGTGTCCAAGTACACTTACAGACTGTTATACCATACCGAAACCAGCAAGACAGCTCAGAAATGAACTTGTAGAGGGCATAAGAGGATTCTTATTTAAAAAAAAAAGGAAAAAAAAAAAAAGGTAAAAGAAGAAAAAATTGATACATTCAGTTTTCAAACTATGATCGTGGGTTTTCTTCTAAAGACATTTTTTCCACATGCTTTCCAAGAGACCAACACATATATGTTAGACTACATTAAGTGAAATGGAATTTTGTGTAAGTGAAAAGAAATGCTGAATGTAAACAAACTGTTTTACCATTCACAAAGTCTCTTTTCCTAAAATAAAATTGAAAAAAAAAAACTAATAAAAAGAATAATAGTTTCTCATTGTAAACTGGCAGGGGTTTATGAAATAAAAGACTTTGCTTCTAATCAAAATGTTGGTCACATGTACAGTATATAACACAAATCACACAAGGAAGGTATTATGTATGCAGTAGAAATCTAGAGTTTAGGAAATGAAACTTTTAGATAATATTGTTTTGTCACCCTGTTGGTCAGAAAGACACCTTTCTAGTTTTAACGCATGCAGGCATGTAAATATTTGTCCTGGAGTCACAGTATTACTGAATGAGATCTTAAGCATCTGGTAAGAAGTCAGAATTCTGTATCAGCCACTTTTATTTGTATATTGAGCCCTGGTTAGTGCCCTGACTAGTGCACTTCTAAGAATGGACTGTGGCTGAGCAGCGAGTCAAAATGCCAGAAATATTTTTATATGTTAATGTCATATTACGTCAATGTTGCTAAAAAAAAAAAGCAAACCTAACAAACACTTGATGTATCAGTCCAATTCCACGTAGAACTGAGTGATACAGTTGAAGTCTATTGTCCCTCCCACCTTGTCTTAGGGATGGATGGTTATGTGTTCCTTTCACTGTCTTTATGAAAGCTACAATATGTGTTTTCACCTTTGTGCTGATAACTGGAAGTAAGCTGCAAAACACTGCTTATTACATTACTAAAAATTATGTTCTTTGCTTTGCGTACTTTTGGGTTACCCCTTTAAAGACTGATTTTGTGAATCAGTGCTATTACTGTAAGTTTTGTGATTATGCTTTCTTCATCTAATGTTTTATGCATATAAAATATTATTTATTTCATGGAAACATATCAAAACCTTAAATGTCTAAGATGCCTAACTTAAAGCAAATATTTCTTTAAAAGTAGTTCCGATTGGATATTAATATTATTTTGACAAAAAAAAATCTAATGTTTTGTAAACTCTAGCACTGAGCTTCTATAGTTTGTAGGTCTTCCTTGCAATACTGGTACACATTTATTTTGTGCAGTTCATATTTACTCCACCACAATCCTTTTTTAACAATAGAAAGATGTATATACAAGTTCACATCACAGTAATTTTTTTAAAGAAATATTGAGCAATATTTTTCATTAAATATTGTTGTCTAATACTTTGTAGTGATGTTGTTTTCTAACCATGATTCTTTCATGATTGTCATAGTTGCTTAAACACACATGGGATTCTGTACTCCAGTTTTTTCATATGCAGTCTTTAAAGGGTTAACAGCTGTAAAGTTAGATGGATTTGTGGCAAGCTTTTGAATCATTCATATCTGAAAGAGAATTAAAAGCCTACAACTGAAATATGTACTAGCATTTACCATTGCTCTGCTCCTTGCATAGAGTCACCTGTAAGTAGGTTTAGTAGTTTTACAGTATATTCTTTCAAGACCTTTGGGAATGCCTCAGTGTTTGGCTTGGTACATAAACAGAAGTGTTTAGGATTAAAGGGGAACCAATTTATGAGCTGGACATTTAGAAAGAATCTTGCTAAAAACTGTAAATATTACAGAACATGAGATGTTACCGTAAATTGATGTTTCTTGCCCCTCTTTAGTTTTACAAGTTTTGGGTTGGTATTTTGGCTTTGGTTTTTGATTTGGATTTTTTTTTTGTTTTTGTTTTATTTTTGGCATAGATTATGAAGAAAAGTTGTCCTCATGTTATTGTTTATATGCTTTTGTAATCTTAAAGATATTAATGTCTAGTTGTTCTATATTATAACCACATTTGCGCTCTATGCAAGCCCTTGGAACAGAACATACTCATCTTCATGTAGGACCTATGAAAATTGTCTATTTTTATCTATATATTTAAAGTTTTCTAAAAATGAAAAAAGGTTATTACGAATTTTGTTGTACAAAATCTGTACAAAAATCTGTTTTTACATCATAATGCAAGAATTGGAAATTTTTCTATGGTAGCCTAGTTATTTGAGCCTGGTTTCAATGTGAGAACCACGTTTACTGTTATTGTATTTAATTTTCTTTTCTTTTCAACAATCTGCTAATAAAACTGTCTGAAATCTCCCTGTGACTTTATTTACAGTTCATCTTTATTAAATTTTCTGAAATGCATAACATCAGAGGAATATTTACTTTCTAATGGGAGGCATCTAAAAACAACATAAGTCAGCTCTTTGTAATGTGAGGAGAACAATGCTGAATGATTTTATTTAACATGCAACTGCTTCTATCTCTAATATGAATTACTGTGGTGAAAAACATCATAAAAGCACACTCTGTGGTTATTGTTTAACAAGCATATTTTCCATTTTTTTTCTTGCCAGCTAAGCAAACTGCCCCCATCTACATGATTTATTTATGTACATTTCTCAGTTTATGAAGCTGTTATTTGTACCTTTTTCCTTTATATTGTGATATTCCCATGATTCTTATTTCACAAAGCTTTGTGCTGAACAATGTAAAGTGGACACATTGATGGAACAAAACAATATTATTCCTCTAACTACAAAAATGCAGGGGTAATCCTGTTGGTTTTCTCTCAAATCTCCTTCACTTGATAAAATGTGTTTAGAGACACATTTTTTTAACAAACCTCAAGTATTTAAACATTTAAACAGGCATTTGGAGAAAGAAATAGTTCTGGCTTAGCTTATCTTTATGTGGCATTGTGAGAAAAAAAAAAAAAAAAAGGTGCCTTTTTACAGTCAAGATTGTTATTTAGGAACAAATTTGGAACTAGGTTTTGCTTACAGAAAATTCAAAAGTTGGAGTGGTATGACTGATTTTGAGTATTCTCCCTTATTGTCCTGCCTTGCCTGGCCTTGGCTTGCCATGTCTTCCCATCCTTTCTCTTCCTTTCTGAACCATACCTCCATAAATGCCTCTGCTTTCATTAGGGGGCAGACCTGTTTGGGACTGCAGAAGAGATTAGCTTTCTCGGATAAACCCATTCCGCTATCCCTGGATGGCCTGGGGACTGCAAGCATGAGGCTGACAGGCTTCCTGGGTTCCAGCAGCTTGTTGTTGGCTGGCTGATTAGGATTTTGGTTATCTGTACATAGGGCAATCACAATCTCCTTCTGCCTGCATTAAAATATCCTGTATGTCTGAATTAGTAAGGATCCCAGCTACACTGTAGCCAGCTCCCCTGCTATAAACTCTGGCACAGCTAAAGCAGGGTAAAAAGTAAACTCATTAATCTCAGTCCGGCTCATGCTGAAACCCAAATTATCTCTACAGTAACAGACTAGCAGCCTAGCTCTGTGTTTTTAAGCATCCCAGGAAATAGTCTCTCTCAGCAGAAAGGAGCTGTACTCTCTTAAGTTCCACCCTACCTCCATTAATAAATAGCTGCTTCATCTGTGTAAGGTACCTGGCATTTAACAGGTCTGAGGCTGGATAGGCTGAGAGACAGTCAGATGTTGGTACTCCTTGTGACCTAAGTAATACAAAAATATGTCAGAGCTCAGATCAAAATCAAGAAAAGTTTGCCCTAAACATATCTTGACCTAAACTTAGTAGTAGGTTATGGGCAGATCCTGAAGAAATTCAGATTCAGCAGCTAGACATCTATAGTTTTAGGAAAATCCTGTGAGAACTGACAGACTGGAATGCAAATTAATTTTTAATTTTTTTTTCGTACATTTGGAGTGGAAAGAGATAGAAGGTTGTGTTTTGATCTGAAAAGTAAACCTCTTTTTTGTTGAAGGTTCTATAAAAGCTTGAAAATTGCTTCATTTGTTACATGGTTACATGTTATTTGACACAAGACTGCAATAAACAAAGACTGAGGCCAAGAATTTCAAGCGTGACTGCTGATTACAGATATTTCCAGTTTTGCTGGCCAAATTTCAGGTATTTTCAATGCCTTTCTTAAAATAAAATATCCTTGGTCAAGAGTTCTGTGAGACTTATTTCTTCAGTAGCTGCTAACTCATCCATAGGATAGTGAGGAATGTATTAGTGTGCCTTTGCTGAGCAGAAGCTCACCGTGATCAATGATGATGGTTCCACCATCAGCAGTATCACACCATCTCAAGCTACAGCCTCCTGCTGAGAAAGCTTCATTTTCAGAGAGAGGAAACAAGGACTTTCTGGAATTCAAGCTCTTAAAAGGAATCAAGTTAGAAATAAAATCTAGACAGCTAGAGTACTTGGAAACTTTGTAAATGATCACCTAAAAGTCAAGTATTATGAAATACTAAGTAATTTGGGAGAATTTGCACATGATCTATGGAGAAACGTGATCTCTTCATCCAGATTAGAGTAACAATGGTTGGCATAGTCCAGTGAATTGGTTAATTGATGCTCTAAATTTGATCCATTAAAACACAGCTAGGTTCATCTTGCTGTATTAGCAAAAGGACAAGAAAACAGATCCCTGCTACAAAAGAAACCAAAACCAAAACACATAAAAAACCCAACCAAATAAACAAACAAAAAACCCCAAAACCCCCACAAAACACTCAAAAACAAAACCACAAAAAAACCCTTAAAAAAACCCTCCAGCTGGATATAAAGTTGAAGAAGTCAAAATGAGAGGAATAAAACACTAGAATAGTTCTCACAGAGAGGTTTCAGGACCTCCATCATCAGAGATTTTCAAACCTTAGGTGAGCAAAGCTCTGAGAAACCTGATCTAACTGTCTGCAGTTAATAAAGATTAGACTGCTTGACCTTCAGAGGTTCCTTCTAAAGGCAGTTTTTCATGGTTCTAGAACCACAAGACTTACTTGCATGATGCCCTTCCTTCTAGACATAACACTTTCTGCATCCAGTTTAACAAGGAGCAAAATCTTGTCCTATAAATAGCAGTTGTCAGATCCAGAATAGAAATTGCTGGGATATATTTAAGCATTCACAGATTTTTCATCTTCCATATCAGGAGGCCAGAAGAATGAGCTGTGCTAACAGCAAGATGTGAAAGAGGACACAGGAGGTAAATACAAAGAGGATTAAAATGGGACCTATTTTAATACAAATATAATTAATTATAATAATAAGAATGGAAGTTGTAGCATCTTTGTCAATCAGTTATAAGATTAATTTTCTAGGAATAAATAAATATAAGGCAAAGTGAAGAAATAATATGTCTAATAATATAAAGAACAGTGATTTGGGTTAAAGAAAGTAAGCTGATTTAGTTTTCTTGGATATACTGGCCAGACAGCCTTTGAGGAAACTGAAAATGATAAGCTGGAACAGATAGATCCTCCATTCAAAATATACTTCCTGTGTATTTTTCAAATAGCTTTCTTGAAATGACTTCTGCAAGGCAACCAACTATTTTGGAGCCCTATAGAGTTTTACCATTCTGAGATACAGAGGACTTTGAAGCAGTCAGTTTGGGTCACTGGCTTCTCAGTCAAGTAAGTGTTGTCAGGCAGATTGGGAGCCTGAGGTATGGAAAAGTTAAACTTGGCATTTTAAAACTGGTGAGACAAAAGGAGTGACTTTGAGCTTCAGTGTCTGTGAAGTTGTGTTATGGTACAAGCATATTTAACTAGGACTCATTTCTGAAGGATTTTGTAGTGTTTTTGGTTCAGAGGTGCTAATTGTGGGGTGAATTGCAAAGTAGATGAAAATTAAAGTCTTGGTGAGGAAAGCAGGGTAAAGGAATGAGACTACAACAGAATTTTGAATAGAACATAGGGATGGCAGAAAACAGATTTCAGCTGTCAAGATGATGGTAAATAGGTAAATATTGTATAATTATATAAATATTGTATAGTGATACAATAAGGAGAAACTGTATTCTAAAGATACTCTTTAAAAAGATGTGGCAAGATACAGAAGGAGCAAACAAACACGTTTGGCAGGGTGCTGGGCAAGCAGACCGCATTTTCAATTCAATTGAGAAGCAACTAATAACCATTTGGCTTCTGTTCACTGTGACCAAACTGATGCTGCAGAATCTGGCTGTTCAGTGATGGGATGATATATTGGAAGCCAGAAATAAGTTTCTACATGGATCTGTTGAACAATCTGAACTCAATTTAACAATTGAAGAGGACAGAGATAAAGTATTACCTTCTTTGTGAGCTGATCAATAACAAGCACACCTCTGGGAAACAGATGCTTCAACAAATGCCAGTATTACCCTTGGAAGCTATTTCTGTGCTGGAGGCTGAACAGGTTCACAGGACACCTTACACAGAACTTACAGAAGCAGTAAATAATGATAATAATTATTAATAAGCCCTAATTCTCAGGTTTTATGGGTAAAAGGGTTTTACTCTCTAACGGTGATGCTGTGGAATCTCATGCAACACAGATGCCACTGGGATATTTCCATGCCATTATTGCACAGTGAGGCCTTGTGGGGCCTGGGATAATTTTTCTTATCCTATCTGCCTCCAACACAAACCTCTACAACATTGCAAGTGTATATATGGCATATATATATATATATATATATATATATATATATATATCTTGTAGGAGATAAGACTCAAGTGATGAATTATAGGTTTAAAACAAAATCATAGCAAAAAGTTAAACTAAGCTATTGACAAACTTGTGGAAAAAAAGGTAGCGATTAGAGTCCAAAATTAGCTCAATGATTTCAGGATTCAAAATATGAAAAAATAAATTCTAACAGCATCCATATGCCTAATTAAAAACCATAATAAAATGAATTTTTGAAGTACACAATGCTTACCTAATGTTTCCATGATTCTCCTGAACATTCCTTGGGTACTGATGATGATGCATTGGTTCCCTATTGAAGCATCTAGATACCTAGCATAACCTCCTCTTGGACCCAGACTCTTAGTTCAACAAAGTGATGCATTGAGCATTTCAGTACATCAGAATTCTCATTACATAACCTAGAAAAATAGTTGAAAATAAGGAAATACACAGCTGCCAATTCCAACTATCTCTACAGTTCCAAAGCCCAAGAGTCTAGCCACCCATATGCCCTGCTTCTAGTTGGAACTACACACTCTTGTTGTATTTTCCCTCCTGTTACTTCTCCCCCACACACACTGAGTTGTAACTATTTAGTATTATCCTTCTACTGATGGAGATGAGGGGGAGTGTAAACCCACTGAGGGTAAGAAGCAACATGAATG